ACCCGACCACTCACTGGCTCACGCTTTCCTGCGACGACCACACGATCACCGTCGAGTACCAGCATACCTTGGGGTATGGCGGCGGGCTCTTGATGGTTGAGGCCGATGTGAAGATGTCGCGGCGTGCTCTTGACGAGGCTGGGCAGATCAAGGCGAACCCTAGCGCTGTGAAGTGGTCGGATTATGCCTTGTGGCACGTGTCGCTTGCCACGAAGGAAGTAGCTTTCACCCTCGCGGCAGAGAAGCTCACCTTGAAGCTCGGCCTGGACTGGGTGGCGCCGTCGCATTACTGCCTACGCGTTGATATCGTCACCGAGACGCTACCGGTCGCGTCGGGCACCTCCGCCGAGCTGGCGCAGGGAACACGCCCAGGAGTTGGGAGCAGACGGGGAAGTGGCAGAGCAGGACATCAGGGCCGAGGCTGCGACCAGCGAAGGCGGCATCCTTCAGTCTGACGATGACGCACTTTTCCTATGCAGCGACCAGATAGATCTCGGGTACGCTAGATGGGCGTGATAGAGAGGGGCGCGGAACGGACATGGAGCGGAGCAACGAGGTCGGTGGCAATGGTGATGGCGAGAGTGGTGTGTTGGGTTGACCAACTGCTTGACGGTGAACGGGTATGGCGGCAACAGGGGTGCTCAATTCTTGTCGGTCGCTCAGTTGCTCGCGCGCCTACAGGGCGCCTGCCCAGCCAGGTTCGGTCTCCGCTTCAAGCCCGTGCAGCGCAGCGAGAGCAGCGCGATCGATGGGAGGGCCGCTCTTTGCTCGTTTTGTCGCTATGCCCCGTAGACCACTTCACAAGGAGCAGGCTGACGCTGCTATGGTTGCAGAGGCCCTCCTAGCTGTCTCACTTGCCCACAATACACCTGGAATCTTCTCAGAAATGGACAGTCTGGATGATGAACTTCAGCTGGATGCCGATCAAGATTCCGAGCCCGAAGACGACTGGAGCTTCCGGGATGCCTTCGCTGCGGAGGTGATTCAACTTGCTGGCTTCTCCTGGGCCCAGTTTGCCACCTCGTTTTCTGGCATTGGCTCTCGAGGCCCATACAACACTTGGCTGAAGTCCCAGGACTTTTTCCCCGTTGCTCTTCAGTCCCCTGATCGTTGGTTTCGTCATATGTTCCGGTTTGTCTGCGGTGTTATTTAGTATTACTGTATGTCATCATTGACCTGGCGCAGACTCAGTCGAGACACGTTTGATCGACTGGTAGCGCTCCTTGGTTGTAATCCCATCTTCGTGTCAACTGGTCGCAGGCCTCAGCGTCATGTCAAGTACCAGCTTGGCGCATTTCTCTTTCGCTATGGGCGACTAGGAACCGACTCCCTCGATGTTGCTCAGAAACTGGGTGTCGGGCATGGAACCGTTGTTTTGTACTGCAAGCGCGTTACACGAGCGATCCGCGAACTCCGTTCCCAGTACTTACAATGGCCGACTAAAGCTCAACGCGAAGCGATTGCGAGTGCCATCGAGGACAAGTCTGGCTTTCCCAAATGTGTTGGCTCATGCGACGGGAGCTTGATACGCTTCTGTGAAGAGCCTATCGTTGATGGACATGTGTATGTATCACAAAAGAAGAGCTACTCAGTATGTGCTTTAAAGTAATACCAACTGTTGTACAGCACTGAGAAATACCACTAGACAAACATTCAGACAACGGTCGACCACACCGGTCGCTTCACGTCTTATGACTTGGGATGGCCAGGTTCTGTGCCTGACTCCTGCATCTTCAGGAATTCCCATATATGGTCACACCGTCACCTATACTTTTCAGAGGGTGAATATATCTTTGTTGATAAAGGTAATGACTCATGCTGGTCACTCATGTTCAACAGAGTGTACTCAAACAATTCTAGGGTATATGTCAACTCCTTGGACAGTCCGACCTTTTGATGAGGCAGAGATCGGGCGCGCTCTACCTGAAGTCAAGCAGCGGATGCACGAGTTCAACAAACGGTTATCCTCCATGCGTATCATCAGTGAGCATGCCTATGGTCGGTTAAAGGGACGCTTTCTTGGCTTGAAGGCGGCGGGTAAGCACCACGACATCGAGGACCTCTATAAGGCGATAGAAGCACTTCTCATCTTGCATAACATCTGCATGGATTGGAACGACCACCCAGAAGATATCACTAACTTCGACCCAAGGGAGCTACCGGTAGATGATGAAAACGAAGAACAGGATCCGGATGAGAATCCGCCTATACTCGAGGGTGATGCAAATATCCCTTTACATGAAACAGATCAGTGGTTGAAAGAGCAGGGTTATGCCAAGAGAAATGTACTTCTAGAGTACTTATTTCCAGCCCCAGAATAGATAGACGCGACAGTAGTATTGATTGCTCTAACGTATAACAGACTTATGCATGAGGCTTCTGAAAAAGGTTCATAAGATATGACTCTGCCGCCCGACGGAGCTCCGGACTTGCCCCCTGAGCCTGCAAAACATCCTTCGCTAGAGCGGCATTAGCTTGCTTCTCCATCTGCTGCTGGCGAACCCGGAATTCCTCATCTGCACGATCAGCCGCACGACGCTCGAGATCAAGCCTTGCCTTGCGGACCTCGAGAAGCTGAGCCTGTACCTCCCGATCCGACTTGACCTTGTCCTTGAGGTAAGCACTAATACCAGCCATCGACTGTGAAGTCTCGCTACGTGACTTCTGAGAGGCCGTCGGTGATGGCACATGCCTCGTGTCGGTTACGGTTACACGGTCAGTGGCAGGACCACTACCGGAAAGCTCGAGGACACTATGAGAAGCATTAGCTGGTTCATCAGCAGCGTCATCACCGTTGCGATATGGACTGTCATCTGAAAGCGGCATGTTCGAGTGGTGCTTCTTCTTGCGGCACACCTTGGGGCTAGTAGCCAAGCTATACATTCATCAATACAGTATACAGAAAGCGACATGTTGTGAAACGTTCGTACCGCGCATTGAACAGCTCCACCCAGGAGTTGCTTTCCCACTCCTGATACATCTTAGCCGTTAGACCGCCGACAGGCTCACCAGCTGATCGTGCGGCATTGATATCCCAGCTGGTGACCGGTGATAAGTCACCATCGCCACCACCACCTGTGAAGTTTTCGAACGCATTGATGAACTGGTACGTCTTGAGAGAGCGATCCCACTGGCTGCGGATAGCACTTTCGGAGTGGCGGCCAGAATAAAGCTCCTTGCTGGCCTGCACAGATATCGTGAGACAACGTTGACGGAACGTGTATGGGGTGGAAGGGCGACTCATGTGGGTGCTGAGGGGACGCACCTTCGCAAACAATGCTTTGCGGTTGACCTTGAGCAATTTGTAGTTGTCGTCATTGCTGGACCCGAGGAAGAACTTATAAAGCAAATCACGGTCAGCGACTGACCAATGGACACCGAGAGTCTCTAGCGACGCTGAGGCAGCTTCAGTAGCTGCGGTACCAGGCTCGGAGCGGGTCTTCTTTGTTGCCTTCAACAGATCCGAGCCGACTGTGTCCGAACGATTGCGCTTTGGAACATTTGCAACTGTGGCGGATCGAGAAGGAGGGGGTGTCGGAGGCGTTGGCTCAACAGCTGAAGGCTCGGGAGCTCGTGTCCTTGCTGGCTGAGAAGGCGGCGGTGTCGGAGGGGATTTCACGGGTTGCTGATATACATCCGGATCGGAAGGAGGCGAGGGCAGCTCCGGGAGGGAAGGGAAGCAGTCCGGAAGCGGTTGAAGGACGGGTCCGGCTGGATGCGGCCGGGGGTAGTGCACGTAAGGTTGCACGGCAGACACGGGACGGGGTTGCTGATATGATGTTGTTGGGTGGGGAGGGAATGCGTGCGTGAAAAGAACTACTTACCTGGATCTGTTCCCCTTCTTTCAGTAGCTGTGGGTCAATATTCTCATTGCCCACGTGTGCTGCAGCGCGAGACTGATTGGGTCTGTCAACACAGGTCAGTCTGGTGTTGAGAGTGGTTAACGAAAGACTTACACTATCATCCGCATCCCCTGCAACCCTCGCGTACCGTACCGAGCCAAGAGTAACGTAACGAGCGTTCGACGGAGCGTCAGTGGGAAACGAAGTGCTGGCACGGGAGTCGCCCGGGAGCCATCGCCAGCTGCAGCCTGCTGTGGCTTGGAGCGGAGACCGAACCTGGCTGGGCAGGCGCCCTGTAGGCGCGCGAGCAACTGAGCGACCGACAAGAATTGAGCACCCCTAACGTCGCAGATCGTTCTCTCGGTCGTTTCTTCCCAGTACGTATGGTTGTTTCCCGCCGGCTCCTATCTACCGTCGTGTGTATCTACCTGTGCCGAAACCATTGATGGGTACGGTATTGGATCGAGATGGGAATTATGCCAGTGTTGCCACGTACTAGGTAGTACGTACACGTACGACTCGAGCTTGAGCTCCGTGAAGACATTGGCAGCCGCCTTGCACGTCTCCTGCAGCGCGATGTGTCGAGATTGTGTTTTGATGAAGGCCCTCGACACCGATCCTTACGTAGGTTAAACGCACACATCCAGCTGGGGTGAGCGCGGTCGATTGACGATGTCCCGCAAATGCAACCTCAAGCACGAAAAAGTTCATCTGGAATATATAGTCTCTGTAGAGCAGCTAATGATATCACATCATCGTTGCGATTCATCCTCCTACGGGGACATTCGGTGGATGTAGCCCTTGCGACAATCACAACCGCTAAGGTGAGCCGACGTCTTTTGCTGCCCACTCGTGCCTGCTAATACATCGCCCGGTCACTTACACCTCAGACACGCATTCTTCAGCTCTGAATGTTCTCAAATAAGTGCTACGAATGCCTGTGCGGGGGCAAAGGATGATAGAAACCATACCGGAATCTGCCCTTCACCAGGATGGATGTCCCAGAGGACCTTCTAGCCAGCCATTGGGCGGCTTTACAATGCTGCATCCAAACGGTTACGTATCGCTAGTATAGAGAGCTGAACGAGCAATCAGGAGTGGTATAATGCGCCGTGACAGAGAAGGTTGATTGAATGCGGACTGAACTCTGCTTGCGGGGATCGCCCATTCCGAGTCGAGCAAAACGAAACATTGCGAGGGAAAAGTTCTGGTGCCAACATGTAGAGACCATAGAGTAGCACAGTAGCACAAAAGGGCCCTAGTAAGTCTTGAGGCTGAATGACAGGACACCGGATGTGGTCGAACGCGAGCCAGGGCGCAGGAATGACG